GGTTCCTGGGCGTCGTCCTCTGCACCGTCATCGCGGCGTGCAACGTCCTCCTCTCTCTCCGCCGCCAGTCGACGTCCATTTCGCCCACAGTCATCCAACTACTTGCGTACCCGTAAGTCCAAGGCCCGCCCCGAGTTCCGTCGACGAGAGAGCAAGAACCTGACGGCGAGTGCGTGTCCAAAGAATGGGCGTCGGCCTGGCCAAGGTCCTGCCCACCACCGTGTACCGCGTCTCCAGCCACGAGTTCACCCTGAATCCCGGCCCGTTCAACGTCAAGGAGCACACCGTCATCACCATGATGACGGCGGCCGGCTCGTCCATCAGCTACGCCATCGAGATTCTCCTCGCGCAGGAAGTCTTTTACGACCAGCACTTCAAATGGGGGTTCCAGCTGCTCCTGATGGTGTCCACGCAGGCCATGGGCTTTGGCGTCGCCGGCATCGCGCGGCGGTTCCTCGTCTGGCCGTCCGCCATGGTCTGGCCCGCGAACCTGGTGACGTGCACCGTCATGCATGCCCTGCATACGCATGTGCCCGCCGACCCGGCAGCCACCAGCGGCTGGAAGATGGGCCGTTATAGCTTCTTCCTGGTCGTCGCCCTGGCCTGCTTTGCCTGGACGTGGGTTCCCCAGGTCTTTGCCCAGTTCCTGCAGTACTTTGCGTTTGCGTGCTGGATCGCGCCCAGGAACGTCGTCGTCAATCAGATCTTTGGTGCCTTTACCGGCCTGGGAATCGTCCCCGTCACGTTCGACTGGCTCACCGTCTCGTCGTGGCTGGGCAGCCCCCTCGAGTCCCCTGCCTTTGCCATCCTCAACGTTGCGTTTGGTCTCTTTATTTGCCTGGTCGGGGCCGCGGGCCTCGTCTGGGCTGGCCCGGATTACTACCGCTATCTTCCCATTTCGTGAGTGTCTCGTCGGAGGACAACTCCTGGGCCGCAGACGCCGTGAAGCTAACCAGGTCGTGTCGTCAGTGCCAACAGCAACTTTGACCGCTATGCCGGCGTGTACAACACCAGCCGCATCCTAAACGCCAACTTTACCATCAACGAGGCGGCCTATCATGAGTATTCGCCGATTCTCCTCGGGGCCAACTTTTCTCTCTCGTACGGCATGGGCTTCGCCGGCCTCATCTCCACCATTGTCCACGTCGTGGTTTTCTACGGCGGCGACATCTGGAGCCGTGTCAAGGATCCCCAATACGACGAACCCGACGTTCATCTCAGGCTCATGAGGAGATACAAGGAAGCACCGCAGTGGTGGTTCGCCGCCATCTTTTCCATATCTTTTGCTTTCGGCATGATTGCCTCGCAGGCCTGGCAAACGCATCTGCCGTGGTGGGCCTACATTGTTTGCATCATCATCGGCGCCGCCCTCTTCATCCCCATCGGCATGGTGCAGGCCATTACCAACCAGCAGACCGGCCTCAACGTCGTCACAGAAATGATCTTTGGGTACATGTGAGTTTCCAGCAAACCCCTTCTTCCCCTTTTGCCCGAGAGCACACCCGCTCACCTCGCGGCAGGCTGCCCGGTCGCCCCGTGGCCATGATGCTCTTCAAGTCGTGGGGCTACATGCTGTCATCCAACGGCCTCGACTACATCTCCAACATGAAAATCGGCCACTACATGAAGGTGCCCCCCCGGAGCATGTTCGCCGCCCAGGCCTTTGCCGTCGTCTGGCTTGCCGTCGTCCAGACGTGCACGTACAACTTCCTGCTCGGCAACATCGAGGGCATCTGCACCGAGGACCAAGCCCAGGGCCTGACGTGCCCCAACGCGCGCACCTTTTACAACTCGAGCGTCATTTGGGGCGTCATTGGTCCTAAGCGCGTCTTTGGCCTCGGCGGTATCTACTCCTGGATCAACTTGTTCTGGCTCATCGGCGCCGCCCTGCCCGTCATCCAGTACCTTGTTGCTCGTAGATATCCCCGCAGCTTTGTGCGGTTTATTGTCTGGCCGGCCGTCTTCAGCGCCAGCAGCATCGTCCCTCCCGCCACCCTCTATTTCCTTACTCCCTGGGTCATTGTCGGTCTCTTTTTCAACTGGTATATTCGACGCCGATACTTTGGCTGGTGGACGCAGTATACCTATGTTCTCTCCGGTGCCCTCGACATTGGCTCGCGCATCTGTGTTGTCATAATTGCCCTTGCGCTTGGCTTGGGCAACGTCCCCGACTTGGAGTGGTGGGGTAACACGGTTCCTTTTGACACGTTGGACTTTGAAGGAACGGCCGTGACCAAGGCGTTTGTCAAAAACGTCACGAAGCCTCTAGGTCCATCTGTTTGGTAGATGTCGCGGGGAAGTCATTGAGTAAGGCTTCGCAGCCATGCCGCATGGAAGGCCAGTTGTAATATAATAGCGTGTATAGAAACTATAGAGATTTTCAGCATGTGTGTTGACAAAAGCGATTGGGCCTGCCCTGTAAAATAATGAATTCAGTCCAAATTTTGCCTTGTCTGCTGACGCCAGTTTAAAATTCGTCAACATCAAAGACGTCCAAATCATGTGCTCTGGGAAAACTTGGAAAGAAAAGACCAACATTTCGTCATATGCAAAGTCCAGTTTTATTTATTGTCAATCACAATCGTCAAGCCCAAACGCCAATGCAACACAACTTAATATATATCCTGCCCGCTGTGTCATCATGATCAGAAACCTACCATCGTCTCGTGCCACTTTTTCCATCTCCAAGGACTATACATCACCTTCTTCCACGGCCACTGCCGCCGGGCATCCCAGGCATCCCAGGCATCCCACCTCCCATCCCCATCTGTCTCATCATCGCCTGCATATCCATACCGCCAGGCATGCCGCCCCCTCCACCTAGCATCTTCATCAGTGATCCCATGTCAGGCATACCGCCTGCGCCGCCCGCGCCGCCCATGCTCTGGAGTCGCTTCTGCATTGCAGCCATCTGCTGGACTTTGTTGCCGCCGCCCATGGCTTGCTGCGCGCGCTGCATGTTCCTCATGTTGCCGCCCATCTTCTTGGCCATGCCGGCCATCATGCGCTGCTGCGTAAGAAGATCTTCCACCTCGCGTACCGACGTTCCTGAGCCGCGAGCTATTCTGGTCATTCGTGTGGGCTGCTCAATGAGAATCTTGCCATCCGAGTCGAGTTCCTTGTCTGTCATGGAGTCGCAAATATAAATCATGCGCTTGAGCTTGGCGCTGCCCTCTTCGTCGTCCATCCCCTGCATCATATTGCTCATGCCAGGGATCATGCCAGCCATTTTGGACAAGGGTCCCATCTTCATAATATTGGACAGCTGGTCACGGAGATCGCGGACCGTGAAGATGCCTTCCTGTATGTGCTTGATGGTGTCCTTTTGGTTGAGGTTTAGCGACTGGACGTGCTCTACTAGACCGGCCATGTCGCCCATGCCCAGCAGCTTCTGCACGAACTGCTGCGGGGCGAAGCGCTCCAGATCCAGCATGTGTTCACCGGTGCCGATGAACACGATAGGGGTGTGTGTTGCTGCCACGGCTGAAATGGCACCACCACCGTGGGCATGGCCGTCCGTCTTGGTGATGATGATGGCTCCGAAATCGGCCGCCTCCTTGAATGCCTTGGCCTGCGACTCTGCCTGCTGACCGATCGAAGCGTCGAGCACCATGATGGTTTCGTCCGGACGAATCGCCGTCTGGATGTCAATCATCTCCTGGAACAGAGCCGACTCCTGACGATGTCTACCCGAGGTATCAACAATGATCACATCAAACTTCTCCTTCTTGAACTGGTCCACTCCCGCGCGAGCCACGGCCGCAGGATCCGTTTCCGTGAGGGAGCCATAGTACGGAATCTTGGCCTTTGTGGCATTCTGCTTCAGCTGGTCAAACGCGCCAGCTCGGAAAGTATCCGCGCACACCAGGCACGCCCGGAACCCTCTCGTTTGATAGTGTCGCGCAAGCTTGGTACACGTCGTTGTTTTACCGGCACCCTGAAGACCAACAAACATAATGACATTTGGCTTGCCCTTTTTCGGCTTGAACGGCTCGGCATGCGGGTCGACTAATTGGACGAGTTCGTCGAAGACGGCTTTTTGGATCAGGCGTTTCTTGTTGACGGCGGGCGGGAGGTCTTTGAAGTTGACTGTGCTTTTGATAGATTTTCGGAGCTGCATGACGAGCTTCACGTTGACGTCGGCTTCGAGCAGGGCAGCGCAAATCTCTTTCAGCATGTTGTCGAAGGCCTAGGCTCGGTCGACAGTCAGATCAAGACGATTCACTATTGCGCCCCCATCGGCTTGTGGGCGGCTCACCTTCTCATCGAGATTCTGGTCCCTCGTTAGGTTTGTGACCGCCGCATTGATGCGGCGGCCGAGATCTTGAAGAACCATGGCGGCAAGAGTGTCGAGATCACTTGTCCTGGCTCAAAGTTGTGGTTGTGGCAATGTTGAACCAAGTGGCAGCTGGCATTGCTGCTTAGGTCTCTGGTGTGGAGGCGGGGCATTTTGGTGGGCTGTCGGCAAAAGCATCAATTTTTTCCCGGCGGACAGGGGGGCTACCCTGGAGCCCGCACTTGCTGGACATGATTGCAAGTATATAGACAAATCAGACTGGGATACCAAGTAAATTTCATCTAGGTAAATATGTTTTAGAAAATGAGGATCTTGCAGTCCTGCTCATTTTGCAAAATTCCGAAGCTGATTCTGTGTGGATTCTTTGTCGCGGCTTTCACACCAAAGGTCATTTGAATTGGTAGGTTGTATTTGGCAAGACGTACTACGCATAAAGGTCGATGTCATTCATCCCGCCAGGCCATCGATGTCATGACCTTTCCGGACAACTATCATTACGGAATTTGCGCTACCCTGTTTTCAATGTTGTTGCCACTTACGTGACTACGGAGATAAAACTGCTACTTGGGCCGTTGCCTCACTTCCAATTGTCAGCTGCAAGTTCCCAGTTTCAAATCACTGCTTTCAAAACTCCAACCCAACCGAGACAGGATCTAGCAAAGGCACTCGCCCGGTTTTTATGCAGATACACACAGCCGCATCCTCACAACACCTTCCCATCAACATTATACAACTTCAGAGGCTTCCCGGACCCAACCAGCTTCGCCTTATTCACCTTGCCATTCGCATCCCACGCAAAATCCACGGAATACCCTCCTCTTAACCTCAGTCCCTTCACGTTACCATCGCCCCAAGCCGCAGGAATCGCTGGCCCCAAAACCACTGTCCTATCTCCCGTCTCTCCATGCTTCTGCGGCATATCAACAACCAACATACTCAACATGGCACCGGCCAATCCGAAATTCGCATCAATCTGGAACGGCGCACTCAAGGCGTTATACATGCTGAGCCCATTACTCGCAAAATTCATATCAATTGCGTAACGCAGCTCATAGTACGCTTCGGCTGCGTCATTCAGCCTCGCCCAGCACGCCGCCCGCCATACCTTTTCCCAGCCCGAATTGGCGTCGGCTGCATTTCCGGGACCGCGGGACTTGAGAGTCTCCGCAACAGCCTTTTGTATGGTGCTATTGGTGTAGCCTCCTTGAAAAGAGGAGATAGAGTATCCGGGATACCAGCCTACGAGATGAGATAAGTGGCGATGGGTGTTCTTGGTGTCGAAACCATACGAGTCGGGAACTTTCCATTCCTTGATGCCGCCCCAGGTGGTGAAGTGCAGACCCTTGTCCAGCGACGCGAGTTTGGAGGCTACGTCGCGCTTGAAGACTGTGTCTGTCTCCGATACGAATTCTCCAGAGGCAAGAACCGCTTCAAAGACTTGGTGGATAGCCTGTTGAAAATGTGCGCAGCCAAAGGTTGTCGGGCCATGCTCGGGGCTATTGCACGGGTTGACGACCAAGGTGCCGTCTTTGAAGAAGGCATCATGTTGAAGTTGAGAGAGCCAGAATTGGGCTACGCCTTTAAGAAGCGGATATCCTTGTGTTTTAAGCCATGATGCGTCACGGCTGTACTCAAAGTTGTCCCAGACATGTTGCATCATCCATGCCGCCGATGCCGGGTCTAATTCGTTGTTAGTAACGAGCGCAGGGCCGACGTGACTTGTTTGAATTGCCTACAGTTTCCCCAAGTCGCATCATCCTTCATGGCGGTATGCCCAAAAATATTCATCTCGCTGTGCGTTACCCATCCCGACGCATTATACAGCAGCTTTGCCGTCTCTATTCCCCGCGGCACCCACGTGTCTTGCATATAATTCCACAATGCTGGTTGCGTCTTTGTCAGCCCCGTTTGGTCCGCGGCCCAGTAGTTCATTTGAAGGTTAATATTGGCATGGTAGTCCGCACTCCAAGCGGGGGAAAGCTGCTCAGCCCAACGACCTTGCAAGTTGGCGGGGAGTGAGTTGTCTCGCGAAGATGCGATGAGCAGGTAGCGAGCGTAGTCGAACAGCAGCCCTTCGACAAAAGGGTCTCCCTTTCCGTCTACCGAGTACTGAGAAATGATTGATGCCGTGTCCTTCTTAACGGATCCGTTTGGATCCGGAAGACTGAGAGCAAATGTGCCAAAAAGTATAGTCGGATACATGTTGCGATAGCATGTCCTCGTAGTTTGTCTTGGCTGCCTTTAACACCGCAGCTTCTACACCGGGACCGGGGTCTTCTCCTTTAAAGCTGTAGTTATTTTGCGCGTTGCCTTTCTTCTGATCATAATTTGTGTTGGCGCTGAAGACGATTGTCAACGAGTTGCTTCCTCCAGAGGGTGTAATAGTCAGGGTCCCATCATCGGAGCAAGACGTAGTTGCCCCGTCACCTCCTTTGGCTCTTGCTTCGTATCTCATTCCGGCAGGGAGCCCAGCCCTTGTCGTACCGCTGAGGCGCGCGAATTCATTACTACATGACGACTTTGCCAGAATTGTGTCCACAAGCAGGTCTTCAAATTTGACTGTTGTTTTAGGCACAGTACTAGTTGACGCTATATTGAAAAAACAGGCCTTTGCTGGATACGAGCAAAAAAAGTTGGTGGTATATTTCACCGAGTCAACCATGTAGGTCGTTGTGTAGAGGCCACGGTCGAGGTCCAAAGTGCGATTATAGTCGGTATACGACGTGCCATGTCCGATCGCAATACTTATGTTTCCCAAGGCGCGATACGAGCCGTAATGGTCTCCGCTCCCGTAAAGGGCAGTTACGTCTGGTATAAGTTAGTATCACTGAAGATGCTAGTCTCTGTGGTGACCCTCACTGCCGGATCCTCTCTTGAATATAAAGTCGCGTATTCCTGGAAGAGCACCTGCCTTGGGTGAAGGGGGATTGCCTCCTGTGTATGTCTATTTCACGTCAGCCCGTTAATCTCGATATTGGTGCAGAAACAGGCCACCAACTGAGCTTTCAAAAGGGCCCCCGCTCCATAACGAGTCCACATTCAATGCAAGCTTCTCTGAACCAGGTGGTCCGAAAGGCATTGCTGCAAAGAAAGACAAGTTAGCTTATCGACACAAGTACTGGCAGATTATGGTGTCATACCTCCTAGTTTTCCATTGCCTACCGGATAGGTCGTCTTGAGAATAGTCTCATCACTAGACCGAGGCGCGTATGTCGCTGGTTGTGTTGACCACAAAGATCGAGCAGATCCAAGAGCTGTAGCCTGCAAGAAGGCCACAGCAATGGTCTTCAAGTTGATCCAATGCAGCATGGCAGGAGGTTGACTTGTAAAAGAGGGACCTTTCCCGTTCTGCTTGTCTGCATCTATGGAGAGGTAGGCGAAATGGATCCATTATATACCACGCTAGTTTCCAGTAACATAAGATCTAGCAAAGATGAGCCTCTGTTCCATGCCATGAAGCCCATAACAGTCAGCCAGCACTCCTCGGTACTGTGCCGATGTGGGAAGCGGGGAAAGCACTAATGTAGTCAATGTGACTAAGGAATTGATGCCCACCAATCTGCAAAAGTAGTTAGAACCCGACAGATAATGGAGCAACATGGAGGTTTACTCCATCTAAATGGGAGGAGTATGAGGCCCCGTGCAACAGCTACCATCTTACGAATCTGTCAGTGCGGCAGCCAAAACCACTGGCTAGATATGGATTCGGCGGTAGTGCTCAAAAAGGAATGAGATCATTCATTCCAATCAGTTGCTAGGTTTCTCCATATTACGAGTAGATCACTTGGTCTGGTCCAACTCGAAGTTTGCTTGTGTAGTTGGCCATTCGGGACCGACATATCCGCATTGGACTTTGCCGCTAGACATTCAATAGCCGCCGTGGCGAGGCTAAAATAATATGCCATCGCATTATGTCAAAACCACAGGTAGCCCATCCACTACAGAGCCAACCCTTTGGCACCCTTTGTCCATCTGTAGAGAGATAAAGCTCTACGCCTTGCCCGATGTTCCTCCCAGTCGGTAGTACCTGTTCCTCGCACGCTATATAGCGTGGAGCGCACCACTTTTCGAAAGTTTTTCTGCTCAAAAAAATTAGTTCGTGATGGTGAAATAGAACAGGCAACCAAGGAAAGTACCTGAAACTCAGTGTTTAATGTAACAACACACACTTCGTGGGCTCGGATGATGTTCTCGCATGCTTGCTCCACGGACTCGTTGGGACCAAGTTGCGGCATCCGATCTGCAAAGAGGAGCAGAATGAAACTACCCTGAAGAAGGTAAATCCCAAATAGATACGACATAAAGGTGAGCTCAGGATCAATGGTGAGAATCGTCGAAACAGACTGGGATGCCGAAATGGCATGCGATGCGCATTCGGTGAAGTGTTCTGAGGTGATCCAGTCATCACCATCGTCTAACATGGAAATCGCATCCCATTTGCCATGTAAAAGGACGTGAAGGACATGTAAAATGTGGGTGCTATAAGCCATAACAAGTCGAACTTTGGATTGGTCCGCTTGATATGAGGATGATGATGACATCTTAAAACCGGGGGCTGGCATGCCGCTCAACAGGTCTCGTCCGCCTTGTCCAGGTATTTGGAATGCTGTAGATGCTGGCAGAATAGCGGCATCACGGCCTAATGCACCAAGACTGAACTCGTAGTCGGTCAAGAGATGTTGCACAACAGATATGGAGTATGCATCGTCTTGTTGGCCAAGTCGAGGGTGTCGACGTCGATGATGAATTTCGATAATGTCTCCAAGGATTGCCATGAGAGGAAGAAAATATTCAAGGTATCCAGTTCCGGTTGCAAGAACCGGAGGACCCATGACTCTCGTAGGGAGTTCCCGGGGCGGGATGGCGTCCAAATTTTCCCAGATACGTTCCGGAAGCGGAGCTGTCGATTGTTAGTGATTTAGAACGCCATCTTTTTTTGAAACCAACCAAAGTGGAAGGGCTGGGCAGGTTTATACGAACCATATACCTCACAATATGAGTCTGGCATAGAAAGGACTGTGTTGAAGGACAGGCTCAAATGTCTGTCGAGACTGTAGAGAAGCCAAAACACCCGCCGTCGTTCCTCCCGCCGCTCAAATTCAGCAAAAGTCGCATCAGAGCGATCCCTATGGCAGGAACATAGAGGGTTTGCACACGGCGAAACTGAAGCCGGACACCTCTCGTCCTCTCGGTTTAATTGTAGGGAGAGAGTCAGTCTCAAAGCTTTCGACCACCATTTGTAACAATCAGACTTGAAATCGCCGCCTGATACAGCGATAGACAACAGGATAAAGGTAAGAACATCGTCCACTCCCCCAGCCGGTTCGTTTGCTGCCGTGGTCGTTGGAACAGACGCGGAGTTGGTCCATCCGGGAATTGGGACCTCTTTCTCGGCCCTCAAACCACCTAGGTAAACGTCAGCATTTCCCCCAAAGGGTACTTACAATGAGGGTCGGCTCCGTACCGTGTATTCGACGCCAGCGGTCAGGGTCTCTCTCGGAAACCAACGATATGGCTAGGTCGTACAAGTCATTCACTACCTTGGCCCGAGTACCAGGCACATGGAGAAGCATAACATCCGCCGTTTGTGCAACGCACCATAAAATTGTGGCCAGAAGTGCTGGAGTGGTATATCTTGGGTTAGTTGGATGAAGAATAGACTTTTTGCGGAATATGCGAGTGAGAATGTATGGCGAGGCACCGCGGAACAGCGAGCTTCCGGGATCAGTAAGGAAAATATCAAGCAGCTCGCAGGCTACTGAAGCTGGAAGTATGTTTCGTATATACGGTAAGACTGGATCGAGAAATCTGTAACAACAATCCTCCGTTGGAGCTTTTTGAAGGAGGTCGGGCGACAAGCTATTGGGTACCGTAGCAGTGCTGAAAGACTCTCGAGTACTGTCGCCGTTACTAGCGGCAGATCTAAATGAATCACGATGGTCTTGAGTTCTTCGGTATTCGTGCGGTCTACCGAGATTTGCTGGGGATGGATACCCGACACTATCATCTGATATGAGTGCCTCCGAGTCTGCAACGTGATTGTCTAAGAATGCCGCCGACAATGAACCTGCCCGGGGTCGGAACGCTCGAGAATCGGACGTAGCATTTTTGTGTGAACCTGGTTGAATAAGTGAAGTAACGGACATAGACGTAGATACACGTCGTCTTCTTTCAGGGGACTCATTGCCGTGTGAGATTACGCTCTCTGCATGGCTGACTAGCCGACCATCGACGATAGGCGGGATATTGCTCGCGGGAGAGCCACCACGTTGATCCGCTTGAGAGGATAAAGATAGAGACTGCCTGTCCGCAACCGCTGATTCACCGGCAGGCGATGCTAATGGCGGTGAGGATTGAGACGCCCGTCCATCGTCGCGAGTGCCTGTTGGAGGTACTGGGCGTTGTGACTCGGATTGGAACTTGACCGAGGTAGAGGCTGGCAGACGGCCTCTCTTCTTGATCTCCCTATTATACCGACAAAGGTACCCATAGTCTTCGACGAGATAGACATAAACGTCAGTCACTGAATCTTCCATAGTGGTAGCGATTGGCGGTGACCAGGCGGTGACTGCAGTTACAAGGCCGTAGAGACTGGGTATGAAAGCAAATATTGTTTGCCAGGACCTTCTGACGTTTTGTAACAAACGGGCGACAAGCCGAATAGTCACAACATTGAAGAAAGACAATCTCACCTTGACATCTACGGCACGGACTAGACAATGGGCATTGGTTAGTACAGACGTCGAAATTCAACACCAAAGAATTCCAGTTGGACTTGCCATTCCCCATCACAGCGAGTCCGTGATGTGCTGCACTTGTCGCAGGCTCTCCTCGTGCGCTTTCTTGGCCTGGCGTGCTCCTGTTGGGGGCTGGAGACAACCTCTGGAGATTGGCCTGTCTCATCCCCAGATCCCAGCATGGAGTCTTGCTTCCGAAGGTCGACTTGGGCCATGGCGGAGGGCAGCCGGCGGCTCGTGTTGGACACAAATATGGAGAAAGGGGTTAGAAATAGCCGTGGTGGATGAATGCAGGTCCTGGCCGAGCAAATGGCGCCAAGGCTTGGTGTTGTACACAGCTTGGCACGAAATGAATGATGCCGATTGAGGCTGTGGGAAATGGGTTCCGAAGCCAAGTTATGCGAGCCGACGGTTCAAGGGGTCTGGTCTTGACTCGTGAATGCGAACCGGGCAGGCAGCATGTGAGGGGCGACGTCGGCTTCCATGTCTAGTCTGGGTCTTTCGTTTACCAGTGGCTACCGTGGGCTGTCAGCTGGCTGGCAGTGGCGGATGCACGGGCAACGGCAGCTAAGCAGCTGCTGAAAACGGGAAGGCGCGACCAGGAACTGGCAGAAGCACTTGCTGGGCGCTTCTCTCACATGCGGGCACCTCGCTCAGTGACGAAGCTATTGACACAATTCGAAAGATTGACCCTTCAAAATCTGAGGCTACAATCCCCCTGCCTGAGATCATGGCGTTTTGGCAGAAGCGCGGCCTGGCGTTCATTGACGAGAATAAATACGACCCTTTCTTATCCCGCTCGCGCGATTCGTTCCGACATGTGCTCCATACATTTGTATGGACCTTCTGACCGCACTCGACCAGAAGACGCAAGTTGGCATGCAGCCTCGCCCCAGGTGCCCTCTTTGAGTCTTGTTCATCACGTCCAACCATCTCCAGTAATTGAGCCTGGCATCGGCGCCACATCACAAGTGTTCATGACCCTGTTTTCTGGCATTTAATAACTGTAATCTGGGGCAACCAGATCTCGGCGCCACCTCCCGCCAACACCAACTTTTCCCCGCGTAGCACGTCCAGCCACAGGTGCTTAGTGAGCGTTGGAGCAGGACAATCTCTTCGATTGAAATGCGGAGTCACGCCAGACTTTTGAGTTGACTGAGTGTCCTTACCATCCCTATTTATCCGACGGCCATTTCGAGCTGTGTCCAGGGACGGGAAAAGCGCCTCGTGGCTTGAGACAAGGTCGACGACAACCAGCTATGAACGGTTTGAACGGCCGATGCCAACTTTGGGATCCAACGGGAGCTATCGAAACAGAAATCGCGTGCGTGGAGGCTGCGGTGGCGTCTGGGGAAGCGCTTCTGTTGTGAATTGCCACTTTAGCCTGGAAGAGCCATCAAATGGATACTGTCTGAACATAAATACTTAGGGCAAAGGAACCACTCATTGCATTGAGAAATCCTCAGTCGTTTCCAGAACAGAATCAAGGGACTTCCTCCCTAAACGAAAGTGCTTGTTTTCTTATTCTGCCCTCCAACGGCAGACTTCGACACTAGTCCTTGCAATCATGACGACCAAGCCGTCACACTTGAGAAGGCAGCCTTTGCGAGTTCACGATGATGACAGAACTAATGCTGCCGAGATGACCTTGCGTCAATCTCTGTTCCCGATTTGCCTTGTTACGGTTCTCTTCTTTCTTTGGGGATTTTCTTACGGGTTGCTTGATACTTTGAACAAGCATTTCCAAAACACTCTGCACATTGACAAGTCGAGATCTGCCGGCCTTCAGGCAGCCTACTTTGGGTGCGTATATACTGAAACGGACCTTTGATACGTTGCTAAGCAGATTTTAGTGCATACCCCCTGGCTTCTCTTGGTCATGCGGCCTGGATTTTACGTCATTTTGGCTACCGTGCCGTCTTTATCTGGGGCCTCTGTCTCTACGGTAAGCTAAAACACTCATACCGATGTGCTCCTCGAGGATCAAATGTTGAACCAGATACCACAGGTGTTGGAGCATTGCTCACCATCCCTGCTATCAAATCGCACAGTTTTGGGGGATTCTGCGCTTGTATTTTCGTCATCGGCAACGGCCTAGGATCACTCGAGACAGCTGCGAATCCGTATATTACCGGTAAGCCCCCTGGTTTACCTGTGAATAAGGTTGAAGCTTTACGAAGGAGTTGCTAATACTGTTCCTAGTGTGCGGACCTCCAAAATATGCTGAAATCAGAATCAATGTCTCCCAGGCTTTCAATGGTATAGGATCCGTAGTCGCACCCGTGATGGGATCGTACGTGTTTTTCACATTCAACGATCAAGATGCGCTGCGCAATGTGCAGTGGGTTTATTTGGCGATTGCGGCGTTCGTCTTTACCTTGGCTGCAATCTTCCTGTTTGCCCGCATACCCGAAATCACCGATGCGGACATGGAATTCCAGGCCGCAGAAGCCCACGCAGTCGACAACGATTTGCCCTTCAAAAAGCAATACAGGCTGTTCCATGCTGCCTTTTCTCAGTTCTGTTATACGGGTGCTCAAGTTGCTATTGCCACGTAAGCAAACAGCAGTCTGCAACGCGCGCAGGGCAAGTTGCTAACTGCTGTGACTAGCTATTTCATTAACTATGTTACGGATACGAGACAGGGTACTAGCAATGCAAAGGCTTCACAGTTCCTGGCTGGTGCCCAAGGCGCATTTGCTGTCGGCCGTTTTGCCGGTGTTGGTCTGATGAACTGCTTCAAACCCAGAGCAGTATTTGGCATCTACCTGACTCTTTGTATGGTCTTCATTGCGCCAACCATTACACAAAGGGGCAACACTGGACTCGCATTGCTATATGTTACACTCTTCTTCGAGTCCATCTGTTTCCCAACTATCGTGGCTCTGGGTATGAGAGGTCTTGGTCGTCATACAAAGCGCGGGTCCGGGTATATTATTGCAGGTGTTCTGGGCGGTGCTGTTGCTCCACCGCTTACTGGTCATGTTGCAGATATGCACTCGACCGCGACGTCCATGGTTGTGCCCTTGTGCTTCTTTTTCGGCGCATGGTCCTATGCGCTGGCAGTTAACTTTGTACCATGGTACAAAGACACCATTGATGCGTATGCCGTCACTGAAGTTGGCGTGGGGCCGACCATTGCTATTGCTCAAGATGTAGAGATGCAGAAGGGTGTGGGTGAGGACAGAGGCGGTGACGACTGATGAGGAGGCACTCGTCTGAGGATGTGGAGCTGATGCCGCAATGAAACATGATTCCCTTCATGCTGTAGCCCAAGAGCTTACCTTTCTCATCATAACAATACGAAATAGTCCAATATTAGGCTTTGAAACCATCGTGGGATTGTGCCCAGTGACCATGGCCGATGACTGTGTGGTTGGAGTTTACTTGTTACAGGGGCAAAGGCTCCAATGGTCACAATAACCTGTTTTCGACTCCGTCTTGGGTTTTTATACATGGGCATAGTCCGCTGGTCAAGGTCCATTCAAGGTCCTACAGTCTCTGTAAAAGAAACGATGCGCTCCATATGGGATGTCACCAAGCCCATTCATATAATTTATATCTGCCGGCCCATGATTCACTCATATCCACGCCCCGTCAACCTGGTACACACTCCCACTCACAAACGTGCTTTCAGGACCCAACAAGAAGACAATGACATTCGCCGTCTCCTCCGCCGTGCCCTGTCTCCTGAAAGCAGAGGGGTCATCAAACGGTGCGTCCTTGGCCCTGCCCACAAAATCCCAATTCTTCTGCATGAGGGGCGTGTACACGGCGCCGGGGGCGACCGCGTTGACGCGAATTTCGCGGTCGCCGTTTTCCAGGGCCGCGGCCTTGGTGAGGCCGACGATGCCGTGTTTACTGGCATCATAGGCGGCGTGCTTTGCGAAGCCTAGCGGGGCGTTAGCAAGATGGACGTATTTTGGAGGAAATGGAGTCGCGGGAGGGGGGAGGGGGGAAGAACCAGCCTTTTAGGCCGTGGATGGACGAGACGTTGACGATTGACCCGCCGTCGACGACGTTGCGCAGCTCGGCTCGCAGGCAATACATTGTGCCCGTCAAGTTGACGCCGATAATCTTGTCCCACTCGTCGTCGTCCAACTCTGCAACGGAGGCAATGCCGTGGCCCTTGCCGATGACGCCGGCGACGTTGGCGGCGCCGTCTAGGCGGCCGTATTTGTCGACAATGGACGTGACCCAGCTGTCCACCTGGGTTCGCTTGGAGACGTCTACTTTGGTCGTCATATGCGGTGCCCCCAGACCAGAGAAGAACTTTTCGGCGTCTTGGATGGCCTCTGGGTCAATGTCTGCAATGCACACGGTTGCGCCTTTGCGGGAGAGCAGCTGCGCTGTGGCGAGCCCGATGCCGCTTGCGCCGCCGGTGATGGCGTATACTTTGCCGCGTAGAGGGGTGTAGGATGCCCCGTTTGCTTGGGTCATGGCCGAGGAGGAGGCCGTAGGAATAGGAATGGGAGGAGTGGTGTCTTGGATGCGTTGGCGTTTAGGAGGGTTCAAGGGCTCGCCGTCGGCGTGTTCTGTTTTGACGCCGGCCATGGGATGATGTCGCAGGAGGTGGAAGAAAATCAGGGCATGAGAGCTTTTTGGGGAACAGTGAAATGTGATAGTTCACTCTTAGATGACACCAAGCCCATATATAGCGTTCCAGGAAACGGTTTCTCCTGGAAGGGTGGGTATATTGCCGATGATGGGAGTACGAAGACTACACAGCGCAAGACACGTTTCGATTTCAAGTTGGTTTGGAATGAGAATCGACTTTCCCGAGTGGATGGGAGCGAGTTGCTGGCGCCGACATTTCTACCGAGCCGCGAGGTGGCTGGCGGGATGTGGTGTCACGATATCAATTTGAGGGGCCGCAGGTGATGCTCAAATTCCATTGTCCTGTCTGGTTAAAGCCGGCGGGATGCAGATGCTTTCGTTGTTTTGCGTCGGGTGCAATTTATTAGAATAGGATTGGCTGCATCAGACTTCCTTTGTTGGAGATCGAGTGGGGTTTTCCCCACGTACAGCGGCCGATGGCGCCTCACCGGGTGCCGTCGGGATGATGAAAAGTCTCAGGCGCTTGTTTAAATACCCGACGGCAGATAGGTGAGTGACAGGCAAGATTAAGTTGATGCTTATCAACTCCATCGTGCCGCGGCGGCGGATAGATGTGCTCCAGGTTCTGAACATGATAACATGTTGCTTGACTGGAAAATGGTACCTAGTTATGTCTGACTCGGGAACGGCCGTTGACGTCTCTTGTTACGCTTCTTCCGCCGGCCTTGGAGGGGGCATGGAGCAAACCCAGACATTGGCTCGGCCCAGCCAGCATCGTTTCCATCGAGTATGACGCCTTATTCCACCAGACACCGATAGTGTGGGCCCGTGCCGCTATGGTGTAGTTTAGCCGTGAAAATTGCGCATCTCAGCACATGGAAGTTTGCCGTCGCCGAGTCAAACGGACGGGCTGTTCCGCCTCGCCAAGTCAGACGAACTAATTGAGGGGTTTGGGCTGCCCAAAAGACGAGCTATACCAGACTCTTATGAGCCCTGTATCATTATCACAATCTTTCTGGGCTTGATAAAATCTGCAGGGCTTGCAGGCATTGGGCCTCTTGCATCGATATGACATACCGAGTCCATTCCATCGTCCCTTAGCGACATTGCCTGGTACTACCAGCCGCGGGGGCCTTGGTACTATTACCTGGGCCTGGCATCTGAAAGGCTTCCGAGCCTCTCGCCATAGAGTTTAGGCTCCGGATTCCGCTGATATTATGCCATGGACCTTCACTCGGCCTCTCGGAAAGCCAACGATCCATGGGAGTAGCAGAGGTTGCTTGACAGGTCATGTATGTCTCATCAGACGATAGACTGGGATATCTATTAGTGACTTTGGCATTCCAATTATTCCAAGAGTCTATAGATGCTTACGGCCTCGGAATCGTAGTCATATCACCCAAGGGCTTGGTTGCCTCGCCGATATTGCTCCATGTTGATGTTGTTCCGGTAGTGCACGTGTCAACAGAGGGTTTGAAGAAATACCGTTATATATGAACTATTAGTTTGAAACAAATGCCGAATTGGTTATATACTATCCATACTTATATATGTGCAGTAACTATGCTGCAGCTTCAACAGGCTGGGACCATTGCCTTTAGCCATGGATTTTTCCATGGCCTCCTGGACAGTCCACGTTCCATGGTTTAATCTACCAGTGCAAATTGATACCATGAGGGGCGAATAATTCACATTTAGCTATATGGCCCCGGAATTAATGACCCCAAAGTTGGGCTTCGACGTGAGGGCAAATGTTGTGGGCGTAGACAAGATGTGGCCCCAGATAAACTGGCCCCAATGCCCTGTGACTTGACGACTGGTTAACGGCTTGTAACAGCGACATGCTCCAGTACGGCCCCGTCGGTTTAGTGTTTACATATCTTTAAACCGGCTGTCCAGTACATGATGTTGTATAATCGTAATGTAGAGTTGGCTCACTTGGCTTGTTATCCTACACAATTGCACCAGAAAACTACTCCTCGAACCATACTATTTGGGTATTAAGAGCCAGACTGAATCCATTAAAGCGTACTTTGTCTCTTGTAGTATTTTTGTCCTGCGTCCCTGTCTCTTGTTCTTCTGGCCAAGTTAGAGGCCTCTTTTGGGCCTGCTGGATGTGACGATTTCTGTCCAAGTACCTCTGCGTAAGTCAACGGAACTGGCCCCAGGATCAAAATTTTGTGGCGTGTGCTGATTTGCCAGCATCTTGAGACAAATGTTGCTGCCAGCCTCACTCTCTGCAAGTCGCTTCAGAAGGTGGCCCCAATCGGGACAACGGTGAGACTAGCTACATGGAAAATGGCCCCAAATTGGTAGAGAGTACTTTTGAGGTACATCTGCTCAAGACACTGGGGCGAATTGATCTCTTTGCGTCTTGACAAATACGCAGTCGACCTGGAGGAGCATGTACTCGTCTTTGAGGCTTCGACGGTACCCCTGGGGCCGATTTGTTCAGCAGGTCAGCTCCCTGACCAGCCAACTACCAATATGAATAAATCCGGACACGGGTATAATAACTGCCTTGGTACCCCGATGAGAGGGTTGGCTTTTCCCTTGGCACCTATCGACCCCTTTTTCTCGGCACCCACCCGTTGCTTTCGACTACTCAACAAACTAGGCATCGCACAATGTGACTTGGGGGCGTCCCGTCGGGTTCCTCTACATCGCCACTGACTTTAATATACCATCAACATAGAATTAATATAAAGACAAAACATATAATTCCATCATCGCAAGATAACTATGGGCCTGGGACCGGGGTGGTGCCGTCACCATTGGCCGTGGGGAGCAGTTGGGCCGAAGGAGGTGCCTCTGATACGCAACGGGGATAGGGATTCGTACTTGGTCTATTTTGACCACATTGGCTCTTTTCCTCTTTTTATTTCATCTCCTCTGCGGTGGCGCGGAGCCGTCCCTCGTCACAACGGTCGGGTTGATGCCGACGTTTGTGCCGGTAAGACGATCAGGGTCAGGCCCTCACCAAGTTTGCCAAGAAGACAATTACGGCTTCGAAGAGTCTCTTTCTTACTTAAAAGCGACGGATATTGACCCCTCATGGATATCCAATGACGTTACTTCTCCGTGCTGCTCGCTGCCTGATAAATTTGACCCGAGCTCACGCCTTGGATACCATGGTGGTGAACATGACCCATATTCACTTTGCGCCCTCGGGGACTTGCATCGTAGCAAGCAGCAGTTACTGGCAGAGTCTGTAATAATGTCCGAGATTAACTTTGTGTCACAGTCGGAATTCCAGCTAGTCTCCATTCCCACAAATGCCAAGAGCACAACTATTCTTGACGGGCATGGTCAGTCCTCTATATCCGAGGCATCTGATCAGGGTGCTCGACTACAGCTTCACACCTTGCACAATACGCTGGTCTTTCACCAAAGATCTGAGCGAGCGGCTTCTCATCCTCCGATGAGGAACGAGTCTTGCGCCCTGACAGTCTGCCAGGAGAACAGTGCAGCGGCAGCGGCAGCGGTCCTTCCTCTATTTTCAGTACACCTTTGTCTTCAGAATCGACTGCCAACTCCCTTACCATGCGCCACGCGGAGCAAAATATGTTAGCCCAAGCGCCGAGCCGCTGTCAGTACAGTTGCCAACGCGGATGCGACAAGGTGTTCGAGAGCTCCAAAGACTTGGATCGACACTACGCGACGAGAGCACATGCAACAGCTAGTCGTGACTTGTATATATGTCGAGACGGCTATTTCAATTCTCGGAAGAATCACTACTGTCGACATTTGGCCCAAATGTCATGCCTACCTCAACGCCCTTATTTCAAATGCATTTGTTCCGAACGACCAAGGGGAGATGATATGAATGAGCATCGGGCACACGTAAAATTGTGCAAAGCAGGGCGACGACATGTGGACGGCCAAGAAAGACGGTGTTGAAAACATCTCTGGCCACGGCTGGCTACACTGGTTCCCCCAACAATGATGAAGCTTCTTTCAAGCTAGCATAGTCGATTGCCTATCGGCCTCCATTGAACGATAGCTAAGATGGAATTCATTTGCTGGTTTGTAACAGAAATCGGTTATTGGATTGTGCCTATTTGCAACTTGCACGAGGCAGCCTTCTCTATCTGACTTGATGAGCTATGGTATGGCCATGATTGGTTATGGCATACCTTTGCTCGCTGAATATTACGCAGAATTTTCCTTTCACCCCTTCACCCTTTTTATCTTGTCCTATATTCGTTGCTATGCGGCTATCCCTTCCTGGTATTCTTTGGGTAAGCTTAAATCTCTCTGTCAAATTCAATAACCGCACGGGAAAGTGTTACAAGTGTTATTTACAATCTTCGCAGTTAAAATGGGGGATGAGTTGGGGCTGGCCGCCCACCTCTTCGCCTGGTCAGGACGATGTTGGTTGTCATTAGAATTCGAAGAGTCATCTGATTTGATTGTTTTAGGAGCCAAAATGCAGCTGGTATTGGCCTCGAGCCAACACTCATAGTCGTTACTATACAAAAAAGTGTAATTACTCCTGCTGCCGTGTTGTTCATTTTTATATGGCACGGAGCTTTCCATCGATCCAATATTACGTCCAGTCGGTGTATACCATCTCGTCGGCGTTTATCACTCGGCCGGTATATGCGATATAATCGAGACGTATAGCTCCCGCCTCGGCATATATCTTGTCGGCGTATACCATTTGAGCCGGCATTTATCACGATGTCGGAGATATCGGAAGTTGTTGCTCATGTATTGACACGATGAAGTGGGGTGCCGACGCCCTTTAAAGAGCTGGTGTCCGCGACAACTTGAATTGACATCTTTCGACTCCCGTGTATCCTCAAAACACGACAAATCTTTAAGCAATCAAGCTAGTCGACCAACATTCCCCCCCAAGCTTACACTTCTGCAATGGAATCACTCTCGGCTGCAGCTTATGCGCCTCCTCCGGAGAACGCCATGGCCGGCGTGCCGGCTCACATCGTCGACTTGCTCGACCAGCTCCACGCCGAGTCGTGGGACCAAGAGTCCAAAATCACCCGAGATGACTTCAAGGACCGCACACTGCACGAGGTGATGCGCGACAAGTTCATCGCTCTGGACCAAGACAAGGCGCAGTATGTGTATGCTCTGTGCCGCGCCACCGGGGCGCGAACCATCGTCGAGGCCGGCACCTCGTTTGGCGTCAGCACCATCTATCTCGCTCTCGCCGCCGCTGCCAATGTGTCTGGTGGAGGTAAGCCTGCGAGAGTGATTGCGACGGAGCATGAGCCGACCAAGGCGGCCAGGGCCAGGGAGATCTGGGACAAGTGTGGCAAGCAGGTCGTCGACGTGATTGACCTCCGCGAGGGGGATTTGAGGGAGACACTCAAGGAGGATCTCGAGGACGTGGATCTTTTGCTTCTGGACAGTGAGTTCTTCTTCTCTCAAGTGCTAATAATGGAGCGTTGCCCGGGTGCGAGGCTAATCGTTGCGACAGTCTGGACCCCGATGGTCCTCCCGACGCTGCAGGTCGTTCTGCCCAAGATGAGGCCTGGGGCCGTTGTCATCTCCGACAACACCATCAGCTCGGCTGAGGGGTACAAGGATTTTTTGGAGTATATGCGCGGTCCGCAGAGTCCATTCATCAACCTGACCCTGCCGTATAAGAACGGTCTGGAGATGAGCATTTACGTGCCGAAGCAGTCGTAAATGACCAAGTGCGGCCAGTTCATTTCTACTTGCAAATCATGTTGGATAGTACATGCGTCGGCTTGGCACTTGAAATGCATGATTTTATGTATTGATGCGTACTCGTCTTATTGGCCGTATTTTATGCATCTTGGCAGGACAGCGTTGGGCAAAACCATCATTTCTGGGCCAAGGGCATTTATTCACGTATTTGCACTATTGAATACATGCAGATTTATTCCTTGCTGCATCCTCTTCAACGGCATCAGCCATGTCTCCCAGCGTATCAAACTTCCAATCATAAATCTCATCCGCTCTGTTCCCCATTGTTGCACCTGGCCTCACGATCCAACTCGACTTGATTCCTGCCCTTTTCGCGGGCTGATGATCGTGGAACTGGCTCTGCGCCGTTTGTATAATCTGGTCCTTTTCGACGCCAAACCTGTCCTTGACCTCGCGGATCATGTAGTCAAAGTTTGCAAGGTCAGGCTTGTAGCTGCCGACATCTTGGGCCGTAATGATGAGATGGAAAGGGAAGCCCTGCAATGGCCCCGCGTTGGTCCTGGCAAATGATTCACGATCCACGTTGGACAAGATGACGAGCTTGTAGTATTTCGAAAGGCGGCTCAGGGCGGCTACGGAGTCGGGGAATGCGGGCCATTGGCCGACTGATGCGCCGAAAGTGTCGCTTTCTTCTGCGCTCGGGTCCTTTAGACCCAATCTGGCAGCAACTTGGGGGTGGACGGCGGCCAAGAGTTTGTCATATGTCAAGTCTGGTGTCTTGGCTTGCTGGGCGGCTTCGCATTCGTGGTAGACTGCGAGAAGCTCCTTGCGTGACCGTGAGGCATTGTTGGCGTCGAGGAGGGGTTGCAGAGCGTTGACGACACCGGTTTCCCAGTCTATTATGGTGCCGTAGCAGTCAAAGGTGAGGACTCTGTAGTCGGAGAGCTTGGCCATGGTACTTGTGAGGGGTCGGGTGGACTGAAGTGCATGTTCAGAACAGCGGTGTTCTTGTATAATATAGACGTCAAGTGTTGAGGTCATGGGTGCGGACCATGTCAGTGTATGGAACCTTCGGGAAGGCGGTTTCAGCCCTTCATATGACAAGCGGACGGCCCAGTGCCAATACATGCCGATGGCAGGCTTGCCTGGCGCGCCCTGTGTCCATCCGCCAAGCCTTACCCCACCATTTCATCAAGGAACATTGAACAGAGGAACTGGCACTGGGTGTCACTCCGATCTTGCCCGTCGAGACCCGGTCCGAGATCCGGTTCCGGTTCCGGTCTCGCGTCCTGCGGAAGGACCAAAGCTACCAAGCGCAAAACGCTGCTACGCAAGAGACTAAAAGGCGGTTGACGAGTTTGTGGCTGCTCTTGCGCCCAAAGAAGAGATTCTTAACTAAATCACATGCAGGAATACCGCACACGCAAATGGTGTAAAAGACGAACACCAGACGCTTTCCACATATCGACAAACGCGCCCCTGGCCTTGGAGTATACAATGGGGCTAGAGAATCTACGCTGTGCTGGCTCATGATCGTTATACCGTAGACTGTACTTCTGTAGATCCGTTCCAGCCTATCGTCACGCTGTCAATCTGCCGGCAGGGCTGCGGAACACTCTGGCGCGTGCAGGGTGTGGTGATGCAAGCAAAGTCGCGCGGCGGCTCTGGTGACATTGCATCACAAGACGGTGACGCTACATGCCTCCATTATATGTGTGGAAGAATTTGATTACAAGTCCTACCAAGCGGGGCGTCTTTAAAACCTGGCATTGGGCCCGTGCGGTAAAGGAAAAGGGGACCAATACTATTGTGCCACTGACCAAGAGGCCTCATCTCTTTAAAGCATCCATGAGTCGAGCTGTGGTTTAATGTCCTGGTACGTGTCACTAATCCAGACCGATATACAATTGCCATCTACGTATATACTATCAATTGATGTCTAGCAGCTTGTGAAGCGCTTCCTGATCGTCTCCATCTAGTCTATACTAGCATCTATCGGAATTCCAGCCTGCTTCACTTCAGACCCTGCCGAGGGTAGGCATGAGCTTCACCAGAATGCACTGCCTGGTTTCTTGTGATTCTGCATTGCCCGGACTATCACATCATTATGAGTGATCAGAGCCCACTTCCTGATTGTAATTGTTATTACACTGACGTTGAGCAGGGTCAGACTGGCTGCTCCATGGCCAATCAGTTCCGAGTGCTCCAATCAGTTCATCCCAGGACTCTCAAGCGCGTTACTTTGCAGCTCGAGTGTTGCGTCCGTTATCTTTACCCCGCTATAATGTAGTATTCTGTTCCGCCATGATTGACTAACCACGTATCATGTTTTCATTGCAATAGTTCTTTGCATACTGCAAGGCATCCATATACCAACATAGCGATATGATATGTAATATCTAGTAGATGGACCTGGAGAGGCCCCCCCCTGTATAGCGTTACACTTGTTGGGCATATAAGTGCAGATGGCATTCCCTCACATTTCTTGCCCAGGGCAGCATCCGACATGCCCTACCATCAAATCTGTTCTGCATTCCAATAATCTCGAACTGGGTAAAACATCGCTCTCATAGCTCCACTCTCTTAACTCTCAACCGCTGTTATATCCCTACACGATGGGGGTCGTCTTTATACTACTGGGAATTGCTTGTGTAGCGCTTTATTTCTTCCTCCATGGCCGTCTCCGAGGAAACACTCGTCTGCCTCTCCCGCCAGGTCCGACGGGCCTACCGATTGTAGGCAATATTCTCTCCTTGCCGCCCAGCGGGGTTCCGGAGTATCAACACTGGCTGAAGTTTAAGGACTTATACGGCCCCATTAGCTCTGTTACCATACTAGGTCAAACTACAATCATTCTTCATGGGAAAAAAGAAGTTGAAGATTTACTGGAGAATATGTCCACAAAGACCTCGGACCGGCCGCTATCCATCTTCGCCAATATGGCTGGATTCGATAGATTCTTGTCTTTTAAGCCGTATAATGCGAGTTGGCGCCAGCACCGCAAGATGATGCATCAGTCTCTTGGAACGGAAAAGCTGTCGGCTCAATATGACAGTGTCCAAAACCTGGAATCAGGACGACTCCTTCTACGAATACTGGCCGAGCCAAGAAACCTCATTCAACATTTTCAAACGTACGTTGATTAATTCTACAAGGATTAATGTATGAAACTAATAAATGATTTAGCCAAGCAGCTGCCATTATCCTACGCATAACATACGGCTACGCCACTGAGCCTCACAGCTCAGATCCCTTGGTTGGCATAATTGAACAGATGATGGATAACTTGTCCAAGACTTTTGTGCCGCTTTCATGGGTTGTCGATATAATTCCAGCGCTAAGATTTCTACCCAACTACATGCCTGGCATATCATTCAAGGCTACAGCCAGACGATGGTACGCAATCAATGATTTTGTTACTCGCGTACCGTATTTGTTTGTACGGCAACAAATGGTTCAAGGAAATCACCGACTATCCCTCGTCTCCAACTTTCTCAGCGACGGCATGAAAAACGACGGAGGGGCAAACATCGACCCCGACACTGAGAACACCATCATGGCAGTAGCTGGACAAATCTACGGCGCCGCTGCAGATACTACCATATCGGTCCTGAGCGCCTTTGTCCTGGCCATGGTAATGTTTCCCGAGGTCCAACACAAGGCACAAAAGGAAATCGATACCATGATTGGAAGTCGGCTTCCCGAGTTTACAGACAGGGAATGCCTGCCATATGTTTCGGCAGTTATCAAGGAGGCTACGCGATGGTTTCCGATTACCCCAATTATTCCGCCTCATGCAGCTAATACCGAGATACACTACAAAGGATATCGTATCCCCAAAGGATCATGTATAATTGCCTCCAACTGGTGGCTGCTTCGTGATCCTGCGACATACCATGATCCAGATTCGTTTAATCCTGAGCGGTTTCTCATACGAAACGAGCCTGATCCGGCGACTGTCGTATTCGGCTTTGGACGCAGAATCTGCCCCGGTCGATTCTTTGCTGACAAAAGCTTGTTTTTGACAATATCACGCATATTGGCACTGTTTACTATTAGCAAGGACGTAGGAGAGGCTAGGCTTAAACTCACCCCGGGATTGATTGCGCACCCCGAAGAGTTTCCGTTTAAAATTGCACCTAGGAGTCAATTACATGCTGAACGAGTTAGGGATATAGAGAAGAACAGCCCATGGGAACAAGGAGATGCTAGCCTTCTTAGAATGAAATAACTAGTAGCAGATAAATTTCTCGCCGCTTAGCGGACGGCTATTAGAATTCTGTTGTACGTATCGCTAAAAAGCAACGCATTCTTCTCTGGAGCCTAGTGATATTTGGTAATTTAGATGAAAGGGCTTTTTGACGGCGCCGTTACTTAAGTAAGTGCGGTTTACAAAGCCGGGGGTAGTAGTATGTCTTGTTGCTTTTATTGTGAAAATTTTGAATTGGGTTTTTTTCAATTAATCTCGATAATGGTGCTACATCAGGTGACACAACGGGTTGGCCGTACCTAGGCTAGGAAATCGCAATAACCCACGTAATACGCCATGACTTGTTATTTTTATAAATCAACACAAAATCTCCCAAGAATTTGATATCGGCTAGATAGGTAATTGTGTGATATTTATCATGTGTAACTAGACGTTACACTAAGCCTGGTCTTAGACTCTTGGATAAGCGATTAGCCTGGCTTGTGTCTAGGAACCGCTTGGTCATTATTCGGGACCATGGGGTCAACATATCATCACGTTGTTTGAACACCGGAGTAATGCTCAACTTCACGAATGGGACTGGTCAATACCGAAATAACATATATTGACTCAAGGAGATAAAGTAACAAATGCAGCAAAGATCGCGACCTTTATAGTCGCTCAAGGTCCCTCACATGTCGTGTAGCTACGCACAATGTCCAGTTGGTTCATGTTCATACCCTAGTGATCCAGATACTAGTCCCGGTAACAGAATAGAATTTGACATAATCCACCTCTGACCATCAATCTCAAGGATGGTACTTAGATTGTAGGTTGGTGAAGAAACACTGCGGTTTGGGGACAGTGCGTCGGGTAGGATTTACTCCTTGTCCAGTTATTCCTGTATATATTAGCGTTGCGAAAATAAGGAGATTCGTGTGGAGAATTTACCTGAATGGGATGTAAATGAGTTGAAGAATTGACATGTTCTCCCGAGATGTCGACGCGGTAGTCACCGACGGCATCGATGTGCAAGTTCACCTTATAAGGTACCTTGGTTGGCATAAACATGCTGCGCTTCCTAAGACGCCCAGTAGATTCGATGGACAAGACTCCGATAGACTCGACACCATCTGGGTATACTTGTAAGTATAATAGCCCGCGGATTTTCTCACTATTTCTTCAACACCAATCACGTACCTCCTGTGGTGTTAGGTAAGTATCTTGAGTCATTATCGGACCTGAAAACTTCCACATTCCACAGTTTGTTGCCTTTGTATTTTATGGATTTGACGAAAGTTTTGCTAAACTCCTGGCCTGTGGTCCTCTTTTGACCTCTCCTAAGCAACCAATGAATCTCAGTGCCTTGAGGAAGCTTTTCGTTGTCTTCCTTCTCTACGACTCCAATATTGACTCGTGCGATCCGGGTCTGAAGAACGTTTTGTCGTTGATTCATAAGAAGGCCATACACTACGGCTAATTGAGGCTTGGGACAAACGTGGACTGTCGCTCCATTGACCCATCGAGGCCCTTTTTTTGAGATCCAATCTTTAAGCTCGGTCAACATGTACTTGGAGCCTCCTAAACCGCCTGATAAAACGACATGATCCTAGAAACTACGGTTAGCAAAGCTTGCTGTGAAGGCCGATTAACTCACCACTTGTTTCTGCACGCCGTCCCGGAAGTTATTTAACGCATCATCAGTACATATTGCAATTTTATTAAACTGAGAGTCAAAGAACCTCTCTAGTTCTCTCCTGTTATATAGTTAGCATGACGAGACTGTGACTCATTGCTAGGAAAAACCAGGTAGATCTCACCTCGGCAAAGTTATCGTGGTTTTCTCCCCATTCCTCCCGTGGATGTTACACAAACCATTGCGTGGGATTGGAATTTCAAGCATATTGGGCTGTTTTGGAATCCCAAGTCTGAGTTTCTGGTGTTGAAACGGATTGCCTTGGGACATTTCATGAGAAATGCGTTTGAGTTGAGCATTCTTAGATCCACCAAGCTCATCGGCAGCAAATCGCTCAAAATCCTTATCAATCCACATGGAACCACTGTCAACCCCCTTGACCTGTTGTAAAAGCTTTATTTTGTGTGGTTCGAGCGCTTCAACCTCAACAAAGGCAATGTCAGTGGTTCCGCCGCCCATATCGATGGACAGAATGGTGTCATTCTTGTTGAAACTGCCATCTTGGAGCATACAAAGGGCATATACCGATGCCGCTTCAGCCTCAGTCAGGCCCAAGATAATTTGATGATTCCTTTCTCTACCAAAGCCGGCCTTGTTGACGATGTCCCTGAAGGCAGCTCTTTGACCCCAGTCCCATGTCGTCGGGACGCTGAAGATGAAGTCAATTTTACAGTCACCCCAGCTCTTGTGCGAAAAGGGATCGATTTCAAATTGATCAATAGTAAAGGCGGAGGCGGACAGATGGCGACAGATGTGGTCATAAAGATGGCCTAGATAGTCTTTGGCAATCCTCAACGCCCTGTCAGCAGAGTCGGGCGCCCAGCTAACACCGCACTCATGAGCCTTCCTAAGTTGAGCCTGGTCAAGATACATTTTAAAGGCCCTCCATTTATCCTCTTCGTACATGTTCTGACAATCGGAGCCCCATTTTCCCGGCTCATGTTTGGCTAGGATAGTCGGAAACTTCTGAGCAACAGGATCGCCCGGAAGCACATGGATCCTGGAATCCGGCCCAGTTGGAACCATCCAAGCGACCCCTACGCCGTGGTCAGAAAGTCATGGAGAAGGCATAGGGTAGGAATAACGCACCAGTGAATGTCGTTCCGAAATCGATGGCGATACACACGTCAGTTTGTCTAGTGGAGTGCATGTTGGATAGGTTGATCGCTAATGAGAAGCAAGTATAGGTAATACGAGTGATGGTGCTGTGATGTGAAAGAGGCCGTCTAAAAGATGAGAAGGACGCAATGGCAACTGAATAGCAGCAGGTGGTTGTGTCTGAGGTTTGGGGGATTGTAGTGGCATCTTGGACAAACTATATAGTAGAAAAGGAGCGAGGAAGAGCGTATAACCATTGGCAACCTGATGAATTGAGGCCATGCCGGACAAAATTCTGTTTGCTTGTTTCGGGTGCCCGCCTGGCCGGCAGCAATGAGGCTGTGGATGGCGTTGTTTGTAGCATGTATGTAGTCTGGTGGCTTAAAGATATTGACCTGGTTGGCAATTGTGACAACATGCAGACCAGACATCAAGTATACTCACTCCCCCTTGTTTATCGTATACTATACTGTACACACCCAGCCAGCCGGGTAGGCGTGACGAGTACACCACATGCAGGCATGGGCGCCAGGCAGCTCCGACACGGCGCCTCGAGTCTGGTGCCCAATAACTGATTGGCTCGTGGGCTTGATTCAATATTTCAGGCCGTTTTTATGGCTGAAACAGTGGAAATGGTAGCTGAGGTGATGAATGGATCCATGCTCCAGCCATCCGCACAGCACGAGGGCGCTGGGGGGTGAATGTGATCCGGGCGTGAAGTAGACAATTGCAAAAAGCCGTAAATAGATTCCAGATCCGCAGCATGTCTAAAAGGGGACACAGGTCCTTTGTTCCGAGTAGCAGGGCAGGTGGCTTCACACGCTGTTGTGAGACCCTTCACGTCTTCTATTTCTTCTGCCTTTCGTCTTATTTTTTTTTTTTTTTTTTCGTTTTCGTTAACAGCCCGGCCGCATATAATCTGGACCATCAAACCAGCTACGATGACTACTACCGTATATTTTCCCATCACTCTTTCTGAATCCGCAGTGGCTGTTTGGACGCCAGAAGCCTCGCAAACTGTCCCTGCTGGTTCTACACATCCCATCTCTTTGCCAACGTCTTGTCCTGTACTTACTGATGGGAGAAATTCCCATGTTATCGGAACAGCGGCATCGCCGACCGTTGTGACAGACACGACGTCGGCAGCGGGCCAACCTGTGTCCATGGCGATATCATACCGATGCGAATACAATGTTACCGAGCTAACGTCAACAACAGCAACGAAAGCCTCGGGAGTTTCGAATGATGCTGCCTCAAAAATAGTCATTGGAACCCTGGCTGGAGTTGCGGCCCTGTTGGCTATGGCAGGGCTTTTGGGATACTACTTTATGAGACGAAGTCGGGCGCGTCATGTCCAGCAGACGCGTGACAGCCTACAACGTCGCAAGGGGGCGGCATTTACAGGCTTCATGAAACATTTTCTCCTGCAAGGTGCTCATGTAGGCTGGGGTCAAATTCGGAAAGATTTCGAAGAAATGCAAAGCTGCTTCCATGACGTTGTCCGTGCAGGGTTCGATCACCAGAAAGTCATTCCGAATTCTATTTCCCTAAATAAGTCACTTGAGCCTCTTGGTCTAAGCGAGGATAGTCGCAACTTGATCTGTGAGCTGGTTACTGAGCCTCGTACCCGCCACATTGCGATACGCCATTTGCTTGCGTGGGCGATATTTTCTAATCTGGATATCCGTTCAGTCGGGCCGCTCTCTCTCCTACACCCTGCGATTAAAAACTTCATGCTGTATGTTCCCGAAAACAAAAGGGATCCGAAGGATTATTTGGACCCAATGGGCGATGGTAAGAGACTTCTGCCGTTAGCATGGGGGAGAAATTGTGCTGACTCGTATTCGTGGAATTCAGAAGACATCATTCAAAATGCTTGGAGACAACTTTCCGCTGTGTTGTTGCAGGAAAGAACATTCGTCACGATGAACCATCACCTCTATGACGAATTCAATCCTCATCTTGACTCCCAGGTCGAAGCTCTGGTGAATGCGCTTTCCGGCTTCTTCGACCATTTACCCAAGTTAGATGGGGTCTTTGTGTACGGATGGACGCCTGCTCTACGTTCTATGATTTCGAGAAGCGCACACCTGGGCTACATACTCGCCTCTGATCCGGGTAATTGGGAGATAAGGATTCCGCCGCCATCGCCAAACTATGGAATTTGTGTCTTCCCGGGTCTAACTTTACTGAGCGACAATGATCGGGATCCCTTGGACCGGCCTCAAGTTTTCATAATGCCCGAGATGGAAAAAGTCGACCATGTTGGAAAAGCTGACCGAGGTAATAACGCCGAGGCACATACCGATACGAGCACACTAGGCAGAGACGAATGAAGAGGCACCATTGCAGGGAGGCACAACGAGTGAGTCGAGGGGCTAGTTATGAAGTTGTATAAAACATGCAAAGGCAATCTGGGCACGGAAGACTTTGTATATGCCACTTCATGCTGTGGATGGATATATGAAAGTATTGTCTAGATCATATCGTCTTCCGAAGTGGTACTTTAGATACTATGACGGGTCGAAATTGTGACTTCAATTATGCAATCAAAGTTGGTCCTTGCACGCATGGCTGAGGGAGAAGATGCACAGACATAATCGCGCAACTAATATAGTATTCATCACATATACCTATCGTGGCATCCTTTTTCCCTCCATCGTAGAGCTTGGTCCTATTGAATCGCAATAGATCCAAAACAGGCCGCGGAAAGGTCCAGCAAGAGCTCATCAGCATACAACAAGCATCAATGGCAAAGACTGAACTGCAAGAGTCAGATGAAGCATGATGAATTCACAATCTAGCTATAGGAAATGCTGGTCTTGATCATGATAGTTCTCATGGAATTGATCCTGAAACACAATCTCTCCTCGTCTCGGCTCAGGGAAAATCCTAAAAATCCTACTCAACTCCATATCTCTTGCGCTCAGCAACCCAGTCCACTGTTCCGTCTTCGTTGATGCTGGTCCCAGCTGGAGTGAGGGCTTTGAGTATCTTGGAATCAAGTGCCGTAAAGGTGGTTGAATCAACAAAGAACGCGCAGTCTCTATAGTTGTGAATACCAAAGCTCAGGGTCCCGTACATCTCCCGACCGCGGTTCTTAAGCTGAGGCGTCAGAATGCCGCGGAGAGGATGCTCAGGATTGCGCTCATCATCCTTGGCCTCGGCGACTTTGACTGCCTTGTCCCAGAAGCCCTGCCACCTGCTAGTCGCACTCTTCTTGTCCATTCCGACCGGCGGAATCTGCTCCATGAGACTCCGAAATATCAGAGACGTAATGACTTGCTGTTGGTTATGTATTTCGATACTCTGCTGCTGGATAATCCCTTGAGTAATTGCGAGCGCCCCTGTCCGTGAGTCGACAGCCGCGCGCAAGGCTGGTATTATCCATGGCGTGTCGGTTGTCGAAGATGCAATGTTGGCGCCGGTCAAGTAGCAAAGCTGACGCAAATTCTCTCCAATTTGGTTCCAGACACGAAAATAACCATGGTCGACAAATACGAATCCCGCAGTCATTGATTCAATAACATCTCGGTGAATTTCATTTTTTTTACCAACAAGTCTCTTAAAAAGCTGCTCAGAAATCCGAGGGGTCTTCGGCTCAATAGTTTTAAGCATATCTTGGACCTCACTGTCCTTGAAATGAATTGGACCACGGCTATGGACAATGGCGGACCTGTTAGCAACGTAGATTCTGGGGGTGTGTAATAAAAACACATACCAAGTAATCCTAGATGCGGGCGGCCTCATCTCACTTCTCTTTACCACTACATCTTGAATCTCGTGCAGTAGATCTTGGTCCAATTGCAATCCCTGAACCTGATTCAGGATACTGCCAAAGTCGACTGCTGGATAGCGTTGATCTCCCGAATCTTCCAAGCACGTCTTGCTTTTATATTTCTTCAAGGCGGCGTCTAGCAGCCTGAGGAAATATGAACCCAGAGTTGAATCGGTAGCCATGTATGCAGCGAGATTCTGATACCGGTGTGCTAAAAGAAATTGCTCGACAGCCTTTAAGAAAACATTTCCGCTGGTCAAGAATTCCGTCAGAGCTCCCTTTAGGTGTTTCATTTCGGAACCGCGCTCGCTTGAGCTTGTAGCTGTAAGTTCGTCCAGGAACGGATGCTCGTCGACCAGGTGCTGTAACTCCTTGCCCGTGGAGACTCTTAGAAGGCAAGTAAGGGCTTCAGCCAAGTTGGAAAGATCAGATTTTGTTTGTACCGACATTACGTCTAGATTGCTTCACTAGGGGATGAAATAGTGTGGGACAGTGTGAATTGCCTTGCGGGGAGGAAATCAATACAAGGTAGGGAGCAAATTGAGAGTATTGAGGTGCGGCGAAACGTTTGAAGGCTAGAGATTTGCAGGAAAATGAGGATATGAGCCAAGGAATCATATTGAGGGTATTCAAGATATATATACACATACGGAATGTCTTGCAAAGTCAACATCTCCCCCCCACGCACAAAACACTCAATAATCCTTAGGATCCGGATCTACCCTTGCCTGACGATCTGTAGTGATGATTCACGCAGGAGCGACATAGCCTCGCAAATGATTATTGTATTGCTAACAAGCCCCTCGTCAATGTTATCTGCCAGGTGCATATACAAGGCCGCCAGTCGACATAGTACTAGTGTCTTCACCGTGACTCCCTCTTGAGTCTCGACTGCCGCAGCAAACTGTCGCGGGGGCCGAAGCGCCATAATGGGTCGCCGGCGTGGTCTATAGGAGAAAATAGAATGCCTCAACCCTTCTAGAATCGACGACGGGGTGCGGTAGTGACCGGGCTGTAGGCTGAGCCTGGAGTTCAGATTTTAATAGCACGGGTTGCAGGCTGCAATATTAGCAAACATACGCCAGTACAGCAAGGTGGTACGACGCCAATACGACTCGAGACCCGCGGAAGCGCTCAATACATATGTCTCCGGTGAGACAAATGAAAATCATGCAGAATATATCTTTTCAACGATAGTACGGCCAAGCGGTGAAAGCTAGTTGCCGACTAACGGTGCACAAGCTATGGAAATAAGCACCAAGTTTCAAGTTGCTTAACTAACCAGATCTGGGCGCCTGGGATGGCGTTATACCAACCTCTGTGCTTGGGCTCGTGAATGCAATATGCGGACACTTGATTGTATCAGGGCAGGGGCACACAGGAAGCAGTCTGGTAGTACTTAAACTCGGCTTGGCAATCAAGCGCATGGACCTTCCATATCTGAACACTTGAGAAATCAAACGTCCCCTGCCGTAAACAGTGAATTTTTGGCCTCTCTATTGGCTGCCGGCACGACTTGCCAGATCTGGTGCTTACGCGGCCCGAGCCTTTCGGCAGACGAGGGGGCAACACATGCATTTGGAGGGGGGTGTTGCCAGCGTGCAGGCCTTGAATCACGGGGTGCGGGATAGCAAACAATAGGCCCCTCTGGTCTCTTTGGAAGACCTGGCTCATCATTCGGATGACGTGCATTTGCTGATGGAACTTGGAAGCCTAGCGCCAGGGCCAGGATCAGGGCTGCCAGGGGTCGCGGGATGAATTTGATGGCTTGCTCGGTGGGGAGCTGACATGGATAATGACAATCTGGCTTTCAACGTTAATCACTTATCGCACCCTTGACCAGGGGACTTGAATGTTTGGACGGAGCTTGGCTTGTGTTGACTGTCGCTGCGGCCATGTTCTCCCATTGGCCGCGTCTGTGGCAAAGCCATTTCCACCCAGCACTCGATACCATGACAAGTCTTGGTCTGAGCCCTGCCGTGTCACTGTGGAAGTGTCAGTGGCTTGTCCATTTGAGCTGTGGCCCAACGCCGCGAGAGGTGTTGGGCACCTCACTCTTGACCGACTACCAAAGCTTTACCATGGCCTCGTTTGGAGCGCCAATTGATGGAAAGGTGAGCATTCACTGCTGCCAGCCGCTCCCCGCGCATAGCATGAGAGTACACGTAGCAAGGCAAACCTGGTGAGATCAAAGAGCGAAAATCTGCCTCATCGGCCTTTCTTCAGTAAAGTTGTCTTGTGGTGAACAACAAGGGGGTCCGACCTGGTTCCCTGGCTAACATTTAACATTGAAACGTCACGTGCACTACTCTGGTTCAAAGGGCGCAATAATGTTGCTCCGGACCAGCACCCCAGACTCCATCCCAGTTGGCAATTCCCCGCCCGCCCCGCTCCGCTCGCGTAACTGACCCCTACGCCACTTGTGCACTTGCCAGGCAGCAAATCAATTCCATGCCCGCCAAGCTTCGCTTGGGACTGAGAGAAGGAGAGCGACAACTCTCCCGTCCGTCATGGGCATACTGTAGCAAACGTCGCCCGACGTAGTACCATGTTGAAGCATTCCATGAAACACAGATCTCGCAGAGGATGCCTGACTTGCAAGCAAAAACACGTTGGTTGCATCACCTCGCCCCCCCCCCGCCCCCTTC